CAACTTTACGTATCTCTTCATATATCTCCTAAATAAAAATATGTCAAATATAATAGAATCTCGGAAGTGTCATCTTCAAATAAAGAAACAATATCGTCTTTTTTTTTCTGAGGGAAACCCATGAGGAATATATATCTTATTAAATTTGAAGGCACGTTTATAAAAAATATCTTTGTACTGGGATCGAGGTCGACTTGGTGTCGTGCATTAATGGGGCACCTTTTCTGCTGATACTATCACGCCGCACGCACGTAATGATTTTGACTTTTGATACAGTTAGACGAAATGACTGGAAAGTACAGACTGCTGTGAAAGAATCTGAGAGCTGGTTTCTCTGTTTCTTTCGTCGATTTAACATAAGGCCGATGCGCCCGCACCATTATTTCGATGATTCAACCGTATAGCCGTCCTACGCGCGTTTTCTCAGCTTAGGTGAGATTAGACGAGGTGCGCGCAGCATAAAAGGGTCGGTGAACTCGGTGGAAGTAAAAGTTTCGTACCGGCCGATTTCTGTATTCGCGAATTAATTATTCGCGCGTTGCGAAGTATGAAAGTACCACCGTTTTATACGATATTTCTTTCCGTACGAGATTATCTCGTGTAAAAAAATCATCGTTGTCTATCAGTTTTTATCGTCCAGCTTACATACCAGCTGACTTGATCCGCGAACGTTTGTCATGGAATGAGCGTTGCTTAAACTACAATAAGTAAGATAGAAACGTTAAACAAAACTATGTTATTGAAAGGAAACAACGAAATACATTAGAACGCCAAAAAGAGATACATACTGTATATTAAAAGGAAATAAACAAAGACATCATATATTAAAAGTAGATATAGGATAATTGTCTCTATTAGTATGCCTTTAAATTAATTTTCGATATCGGTTTTTCAACTATTTCTTTCTCTTATAATATTTCTGTAATCTAAAAAATGTTAATACTTCATATGTTTTTGATAAAAATAAAAAACATGTTTTTGTCCCTATTAGTGAGCCCTCCAAACGGCGATGGCCTTATTAATGTGCCTCCTAATTTGTATCCACATTTTAACATATAGTTACTAAAACAGATAATAAATGTAAGTTAATTGTTTAAGTTAATATTATTAAATCGTTATTTTAATTATACTTATTTCTCAATCTACACTCATAACACAATGTTCTCAACTCCAATACAGAACACACTAATAGGGACAAATTTAAAATCTTGCGCTACGTATTATTACTGAAATCACATAAATTCTTCGAATTTTTTGAAAAATGTTTAAAATATTTTAATAGTTAAAAAATAAATCTACAGACGTAGTATATAAATTCACACGCAGTTATACCCAAGATCCAGCTTGATCGGCCTGTTTCTCATCGGTTTTTCATTGGTGTTACAAAATAAAATATTTTCTTTAGTATCGTATGCATTAATAAATTAATTTAATAAAAAAATGCTTTTTCGTGTTTATTTGTGCTAATTTTTTTATGGCTTATTTAAATACAAAAGCACATTAATATAGAGACAGATACAGTAATAGGAATAATTACTCTATGTATTTATATACTATATATATTTTATCTAATGAAGGAAAAATAGATAAAAAAATGATCAATATATATACCTACTTTGTATTTTACTAAAGTCGTATTTTAATAACACTTTAGCTTTTCACGCTTGTTTTACTGTTTCCTCTATTTTTGACTGATCGTTTAATATATGTATGTATTGCATGTATACACATCACTTGAATCTTTCATTTTACAGAAAATTTCTTGAAAGCTATCTTATTTTTCACATCCTGAAACGATAGAATTTATCAGACAGTCAAATCCGAAATATAGTCTTGTACGTGAATCTCTTTAGCTATTCATTACCGAATTTCGTCGCCAAAAATCTCCGCACACACATCGCTATACTAAATTTTTCGACTACGCGTCAAGTCTCTTGCGCTTTTCTAAAAAATTTTATTTAGGTGTATCCTCAACTCGAATATTTTATATCATAAAAGTAACGGCGTAATGATGATATTTCGAGGAGAAGGCATTTGTGTTATACATCAATCTCTTTAACATAATCGCAAAAAAAAAACTAAAATAGCCGGTGTTCGTCTGCATCTCGGAACTAAATACGTAGAAAGAGAATAAAGGAATGAAGAACTTTCTAAGCCATATTTATCTTTTACCAGCATATTGTACTTACAACTTCGAAACTATGTCACTCACGACTAATAATTTCTGTGTTATAAATATTATCAAGATAATATTTAACGAAGTGAAAGCTTTTTATTATTAATCATAAAACCACGAAATCTCTGAGATAACAAATTAAATGAACTTTTAAAACTTTTAAAACGCCTACCTTTGTTTTTAATTATTATTCATAATTCATATACTATTAATGTTTTAATCAACTCCAGCCCCCCGGTTTATTATTAGAATAAAACGAACAATCCTAACACCGTGAATATATAATATGACGTCAATCCGTGTATTCCGATATATGATATTTGTCCTTCTACCCTCAAGCCATAGAACATTGACGTGACATTGATCGCTCCAGTTGCAAGTTATCGGTATTATATACAGTGGAGAATTTTCCGCATTTACGGTTCGTTGTTTGACACATGCATGTATGCGCTTTACGCGTGTCTACAGTTGATCTCGCAATGAGCGCTACAAGTAGTTATACGTAATCCTATAGTCTAATGATGCGATATCTCTCTCTTTGTCTCTTTCCTGCAACATATAAATGTATTAATATATTAATCCCCTATAGGTGATTCGACAACCTTAATCGCCGAGCCCGGCGATTTGAAAGGGCAAGGGCATGCGTCAGCGATCTATGTATATATTAAAATCGAAAAACGTTTTCCCGCATCTAGTCTCGTTCATGCGGAAAAATCACAAATACGTCCCGCACGCGAGGCTGTTTTGTATATACATATATGCGAATATATGCACGAGTTAACATACAAGGTCATCGTTGTGTCCCTATAATAGAACGTTCGTCGCCGTTACTTGCGTAGACAGAATGATAAACGCGACAAGTGAAGTGCGACGAAATGCATCTGTAGAATCTAGATATTCAACAGTTAAAGAATAAGAAAGGAATTATTTTAAATATTTTAAGACACTCTCGCAACTCGAAGATCCATAAGAATATAAAACGACAGAACGATAAACTTTGTCAAGATTTAGTAATAATATTTGCTGCAAGTTTTTAATGCAAAGAATTAAATTTGCATTTCTTTAAGATTTAAGAAATAATACTTCTTTTCTATGACAAAAATTCTATTAAAAAATCTATAAATGACAAAGTGAAGAAATCTAGTATATTTTCTCTCATTTTATATTCAAATCCGAACGTAACGTGTTTGCTAGATTTGTAAATTTCTACAATTGAAAATGGGGAATTTTTAACCATTGGAAGGAATCGAATTTCTCTATGCAAGGTGTTTTTACAGCTGAAAGTTTTTATAGCCTGAATAATTGCAGAGAAGAAATCGGAACGCATTATATGCACTAGAATTTGATTCCTATATTCGTACCGTAAACTTCATATTTTAAACGCGCTTATAAAAGACTGAATTTAATATAAGTATTGATCACGAGTGTTTTAAAGCTTCTAAATTAGAGCGAGAATGGTCGCAATTCGCGTCTCAACTTTGTGCGAATTAATCTCCGACATTTTAAAAACGAGAATAAACTTTCATTGTATGTGACGCATGTATTCGAACTCTTTCTTTATAAATAGAATGCACTGTAATCTAATGACAGTTAAATAACCAATGTCGCGTCTGCTAAAGAGGCTATAGAGTCATCCTGGAGGTATCGCGCGGAGTCTAATGCGATTTGCTGCAGTTCCAATGCATTTTTCCGCTTCCTGAGACTTTTCATCTACCACAACTGAAATGAGAACGTTATTGTAGTTGGATGAAAGTGGCTATTAATGTCTATAAGGTGTGTCCACCTTAATTATGATCAGCGTGTTATAAGGCAATTACGATCTTCGTGAATGATTGTGAAGGTACCACTTTCGAGACGGATTCGTCGTGGTCTGTTTATGATTATTATACCGTAGAGACCGAACACCTACGCGTATTCTTTCCTTTTTTTTTTTTTGTTAAATACCAACATGATGATAATATCAGTAACTTAGTCACTTAATAGTAAAGTGTGTTTATTTAAAGAAATTGTTAAAAGTATTCCAGGTAAAATTGAAAATAATATTATGTTTAGATAAATAGCAAGAAAATATATAGCTTCCTTTATAAGAATATTTACAATCACACATTATTACATTGCAAATATTGATAATTATTTTGAATATTTATATTATTATCATCTAAGCTTGAATTAATTTGAACTAATAATTATCGATTTTATATGTCATCATTATTAAAAATCTTTTTAGAAATATTTCAGTACGATATATTCTTACAAGTATTTTGTGAGAGAAACAAAATACTATATACAAAAGACTGTAAAAAAACGAATATAAGTTCTACGCAGTTGTTTCTTGAATATTATTTTGCCACGATAGTCTTATTTCGTAGTCGAACCGAAGCTAACTCCGTTGAGACGTAGCAACCGCGAGTTCGCTGAAACCGGTCGCGGTGTATTGTGCCATAATTGGGATCCGTATATTAGCGTATTCTCAGCATCTTACGCAGAAAGTATCTTCTTCGCACTTCTATTGGGCATAAGATAAATCATATAGTATATTTATATTTATATTTATGAGATTTATACTTTATGAGACAAATTATTCGATCGATAAATAAGATAAATGAAATTTTTGCTATTATATTTTACATCATGTAACTGAAATATGAAAAAAGTGAACGGAGCAACGGCAACATGCAAAACTTTTAGTATAACTAAATAGTTTATTCTTTTTTTTAATTGCATAAATTCTACGTTTGCGCGTTGCTTCTCGCATTAATAAATTCTTTAAATTTTAACGAATTTAGTGATGTATCACGTTTAAAGGATTTACTTTTTCTTACAGTGGCGAAAAAGATACCGGCGATAAGAAAGAGAAGGACAAGAAGAAAGGTGAGTATAGTCTATATTGGAAACTTGAGAACTTATCTATTCCAACCGATGTGAGGCCTTCGTTAGCTATAATTATAAATCCAAGTTCATATTGTAAATTTTTTCTCCTCTTCGTATTTCATTCTGTTACGATATTAATGATTTTTAAGATGTTCATCGAAGATCTTTAATAATATATATATATCGAGATAAAATAATTTTTTTTATATCTCTCTTTGTCGAGCAATATGTTCAGTCAAACAATGTCCCCATAAAGATAACGAACGAAATAACGATTATTTTTCTTAAATTTCAGAAAACGCCGTCCAACCACATTGTCACATCACACTGAAGTGTACACGCGAGGTGAGTGACTCCTTTCGGCCTGGTCTTAATTTAGACACAACCTTGTGTGCAAGAGGAAAGAGACTGCAATTTACCCGATAAAGACAGGAGTGCGGCGAGTAAGAAAAAAGAGCAAAAGATATCAGTAACAAACTGTCGACGAATCTTGTATCTCCTATACTTAGACGTCGTAGCGAGCGGGATCATTATTCGTTCCTAAATTTATAGATCGCCGGTTTCAATGGCCTGAGCGACGCCTTGAAGAGGCTGGATTTCCTGTCCGCGGTGCACGACTGCCGTCGATTCAATTACATAGTCCGTCTCCTGGATCTCTTGGTCAGTCATAGAATGGGCGGTCTTAGCGGATGCGCTCAAAGAGTGCTCTTCAATATGCTCGAGGAAGTTGCTTTAGAAGGTATAATGAAAGGATCTTGTTAACACTTACAAGAGAATCTTTAAATAATTCATTGTGAAATTTATCTAGCAACTTCGCTCATGATATTTCTCTACTTATCAACATATATTTTCTTAAAGAAAGAGACAAATTAATGTCTGATCATTCATGCTGAGTTGATCATTGTTTTAGTGTCACTGTCGCAACAACAGACAGGAAGGCTGCGGCGTCTCATAGAAAGAGTTCGAGCTTTTAGCGCTGGCTGCTGCTGGGGCGGCAGACCCTTGGGTTCCGTTATCCTATGGGAGAAACATAAAGCAGCTTTGGAAAGAATATTGCAGATCGCCTCGTCGATCACTATCACCCAGGTAACGTGAAAAATTACATTGAAGTTAGGTTGGAGTGATTTCAAAAAAATTCGTGATTAGCTTGATCAATAACGAACGAGTTATTATAGCCGGACGAAGAGCAGCAACCTCAATGGTCGGATCTACCGCCTGAGTGCCGTCGAGAGATTCTCCTACGCTTGAGCGATCCTCGAGACATTGAAGCTTCTTCCGAAGCGTGCGAACACCTTGCCGTTCTAGCGCAGGAACAGCGAATCTGGCGCGAACTTGCCCAATATCATTTCACGCCACAGCAAATTGCCACCACCAGACAGAATAATCCTGGGAAAGACTGGAAAACCATATTCACTGTCGCTCGGAGGTACGGTTATTCTTTTATACGCGATCGAATCGAGATTACTGCAAACATTAGTTTAGCATTCGTATAACTCTGCGTTTGTCAACACTATATATTCTACGTATCTTTACTCTGTCCAGATTGTTCGGATTACGAGAGGAGTACGCCGAGATGATACAGTTATGCCGTAATTGCCGCTGCTTGTTCTGGCGGTCCCTGGGCCACCCCTGCATCGCGGATCAAGATCCTGCGTTTCAAGAGAAACTGGCGGATGTCGACCAAGCATCTCTCCATGTGCCGATCCCTCCGCAGACCTTCCTGAAATTTTTCTCACTGTGAGAAAATCGCTTTCGCGACACGACTATATCGTAAGAGCTCGTAAGAATGAGTGGTGTATGTACGGAAAAAGCGGAAGCTACAACGTAACTGCTGCTGTGAATGACTGTCGCTCGATAGGATGAATGTTATGCGTGTGAATGAAAATAATAAAATGACGTTTAAAGATGTTGCGCTGCATTTAGAGAGAATCTAAAACGTTACCTTCTGAAAAGTATATATTTAATTCGAAATATATTCTCTCTCTATTCTCTCAATATACTGTATGAACCTGAAAGATAGATATCGGTATTAGGAATACGTCCTTTGAGAAATTCGACGCCGACCTTAATAAATATTCGGAGGCCTACTTATCTAATGAACGAGCTTGAATATTTAAGAGGCTCAAAAGCCGCCCAGAGCCAGGAAAACACAAAGACACGTGTGCCTGCACAAACGCCACCCGATACACGAATCAATACTTTCTAAAGTTCTAATTTTAATTGCTTCACAAGTAACGACTCAAGTTTCATTGAGAAATAGTCAATTCCTAACTCTCTCTCTTTCTCTCTCTCTCTCTCTCTCTCTCTCTCTCTGATCATGAAGTAATATTCCCTACTGATTTCCAGTTCATCAGGCTCATTCTGTATCTTGATCGAGTGCAATTGGTATTTTCCGATCGATGGAATTTCCCGTGTAATACAAGATTCCTAGTCTGGTTTCTTTTGCTTCGAGATTCCTGTGGCGTAGATATGTTCTAAGATTAAGGAGGATATTTCCATAATCCTTCACGAGTTACGGTTGTAGAGAGTAGAAGCTAGTCGTATAGCAATGTTGTTTGCAATGAAAAAAATGTCGCGTTTATAGAAAGATCGCGTAAAGATGATTATTGATTTATACCGGCACGTTTTCGGTATTGTATTCAAAGTCGACAAATGACTACGTGTGATTATACGGTAGCACCCTTCGAGAGGTACGTCTTCGCTGGTAATGGTATCAGTCTTTGCAAGTTTTTTATCGATTTATTGAAATGTTGATGAGAAATCTCGAAGCAGATTTGGTCTTCTGCAGTGAGAGTCACTTTTTTTTGTTACTTGGAACGAGCTCGATCCTAAGTCTTAAAAAAAGGAATGAGAATTTGATTTTTTTTGTGATTGCGCTATTGTGCGAAAGCACTCTAAAATCTTGTTAAATTTATTATTACATGTATATATTTTTCGTATACGATATCAACGAAGACAATCGAGTCTATCATCTTCTTCCATCTTTACCAAACGTTTTGTCGACGTTAAGATATAACATGTGAAAAAAAGGCTGTCATACAAGAGCATTTTTTAAATGCAATGTATACTTCATCGGTGCAATACAGAAACACTGTTTCTTGAACGAACATATTTTTGTTCTTCGTGATTCTATCGCATTTTGGATTTGCATTTAGATTAATTGACATAATTAATGTGAATCTGGTATTCACATTATTTTTATTTTTTCCAATGGTAAAAGGGGGAATAAAAGTTACTTATAACGCCGTTATTTACTTTATTATATAATAACGATTTGACAATAATTAATTTATTTATGATTGTATAGTAATATGGGAGTTGAAAAGTCACTCGATTGTTATCTGTGACAAGTTAAAAAAAGTCACTCGTTACTGAAAAATTAACTCGGCATTTGTAACTCGTTTCCTTTTAATTGTTACTTATTATTAGTAACGAGTAACATTACTTTTAAAGAAATTTTGCCAACCTTAGCGCAATCTCAACGTTTAGTTAGTTATTATCAAAATTATAAAAAAAAAATTGCAACGTCATTATCAAATTGTTATTATAAAACATAATGGAATAGTAACTCTTCCATTCCCTGCATAAAACATCCATCAAAAAGATATTGCGCGTCGACTTTAATTTATTATGTATAAGCTGCTTTTGTGCAATATTTTTCTATCCTTTCTCTTCGTATTTCTTTTTTACTTCACGGCGATATAATTCTCGCACAATAATGCGAGTGTAATTCTCGATCAATATGTCACAAGAGAGCTCCAAGCTTTCTCTGACTATACAGAAATCACGTTGTTATTGTGAGTTTTCAAAGGACAGCTAGATTGTCCGAGCATTGTGATGAACATGTACATTAAGCCATTAAGTTGTAAGTACTTGTACTTGTAAAAATTAATCAATTAAAATCAAATATGAAGAAAGTATAATATATAAATTCGATTGTGATTGGCTGCGTTCAACAGAGAAAGCGGCTTCGCAACTGTTATAAAATTCTTCAATACGATATTGATTCTTGATTTTGGGTTCTCATAGGTTTAAATGTATAAACCAATCGTATCGAAGAATTTTATGACAATTGCAAAGCTGCTTTTTCTGCTGAATACAGCTATTGGTCATCAATTCTTGCAACTACAGCCACTTACAACTATGCTTATACGCAATTCTAGAATGGGCTTTACCTAACTTACAAAGTACAAAACGTGAGTCATCATTATTGTCGGTCAAGAACAGACGTACGTGTAAATGAGAACTTCTTGTCGTTGCCTATATAGGGTACAGAAATAACATACATTTGAACTTTCGGTATTCTGTATGTTCATTTTACAACATATAATAGGTCCTATATTTGCATTACTTATCGTACGATGTTCATTGTTGTGTACATTCATTCATTCAAGCTATAAGCTGTCGACGGATTTCTGAAGAAGACCTAAGTTACAATACATAATGTGTATTAATAAGCGAAAGGCCGGGTCTACAATGAGTCTTTAATCAGTAATCGGAAGTCTTTACTTAGCTTAAGTCACTATCGTGAGTCGTAATAGGTGGTGCACCGTCTATAATGGGCAGTAGCAGTTGTGAATTAAGAAGTATAGACATAAAAATAAATCATAGTCGAATTTGATTGACTAATATGATTAGTCGATTTCTACGTCTACTCCTTAATCCACTACTACTACTGCCCACTGTAGACTATGCATAAGATTGGCCAACAACCAATATTTAATGGGCCTTCTACAATAAACCATAAGTCATAAATCGGAAGTAAGAAATTAAAAATTGACGACTGTGATTGGTCCATTTCTACCTTATGACTTATGATTTGTGACTTACGGCTTATTGTAGAAGGCCCATAAAATACCGACTACAGATTTTCTTACGACTGACCAATCATAGCTTCGGTGACTACAGTTTGAAAAAATAGTGCGTATTACGCGCATATTAAAATCCAAGCTTAAATGTTCCAATATAATCTCTTTTATATTTTTAGTATGGTAAATAAAAAACGACTAACTTGCGACCATTGCATCTGTTCAAAGCATCATATACTCTCTCATCGAAAATAAGAATGTCATTTGCATCAGCATACTAACTATCATTACTTCTTCATCATCCATCACTATTATCAATTTATTACAAATAAATGATCTTCAATTTTACAATCAGTATTATATTTCAATATCTTTCTGAATGTTTCCGAAATTCTCCAAACGACTCGCTACACAACTACTGATGTAGAATATAATAAATCCTAAAGTCACTGACTTAGATTAAAATTTAATAGGCCTTCTACAATAAGTCATTACCTAAGTTTTAAGTATTAAGTCATAAGAAATTGATCAATCACAATCGAATGTGAGAAGAATAATCGACTGTGAGTGGTCAATTTCTTATGACTTAAACTTAAAACTTAGGTAATGGCTTATTGTAGAAGGCCTATAAGACTTCCAATTACCGACTATACAGACTAAAGACTCATAGTGTAGACCCTCCAAAAAAGAAAAGAAAAATTGTACTACTGTACCTAAATCGGAGAATGAAAAATCATACTGCCAAAGTCGGATGCTATTGCATTTACACAAGAGACAATGCGACGTTTATGCAAAACTTTTTCTGCGTAGCGAAAAGGAACGTTTTTTTGATATTCGCTGTTTTATTCGTAGCTGAAAACTTGCAAACCGCTGCATGATTTAAGACGTATATATACTGACCTAGTCACTAAAGAGAGACGACTTTAAACACAAGTGGCGACGAACTCGAGAAAAATCCGAGAATCATTTGACAGCTCATCATGTACATTAATCCAACGAACTTGGTCTCTGTAAGATGTGTACATATTGAATAGATATACATATATATACATATATATAATATGTATATATATTATATACATATATATATGTATGTATGTATATATGTGTGTGTGATTATATCGATACGAATTCTTACGATCAGGATTATTTTACTTACGTAAGCAGATGTGTAGAGCAGTGTTGTGCAAAATGCTTCAAAATAAACTTTATTTAAATATATACGCGAAGAGTCGCTAATTAATTAATGAACCCTCATCTTTGCAGCACGATCATTTTATTTAATTGTAACTTCAGTTTCAATCGACACTTTCTCTCTAAACGGTTCCTTTCGACTGCAGCTTAATTAACATATACATACAAGAATAGACCGAAAAACACCGTTTAAAGACTCATTTATTTCCCCTCTGTCCACATGGGTTTTGATTTATTTGGAATAGAACTACGTGTAATAAATACATTGCACGAGTAACTAATTCATTTTTTAAATTGATTTTAAATTTCGTGCACTCTATTGTACGGAATAGTGAAACGCATGCGCAAGAGGTCACAGAGCATGAAGAAAGCATATTTACATGTAGTCGGTATGACGGATTTCCTAACCTTAACAGTTGTCAATTTTAACGCTTAATATCTCGGTTCGGAGGGCAGAGCGACACTTTTCATTGCCAGATTCGTTCGTTTCGTGTAAAAACGCGTCGAATGAGTGTATTTTTTATCAAAATTTGAACTGAGCGGCGGGTATTCTATATACCTTTACCGGTCTTATGAAAGACTAAACCCAAACTTTGTCACACGAGGAAAATGTCTAACGATCAGAAATCGATGAAGGGCACTACTCTCTTCAGCAGAGAGGAGTATGACGACCATCAGAAATCCCTCTCAACGAAAAAGGAGTGGCCTGGTATCAATGTCAGAACTGGTAAGGGCAAATTTATTCAGCTCTAGAACATCTAACATTAATATCCTTAATAATACTTTCTGGCACGGGATATATTGTAATCAAACATTTCATCTTTGTTTAACGTTGGCGAACAATAAGGATGTAATAATTCGCTTTTTTTCAACGTGTCGAACAAGCCTATTTTGATTGATTTTTGAGGTGCTTTTGAGTTAAACTATATAATTACCATAATATAAATATATTATATATAACACATATATAGCATAATTATATTGTTGAGTAAAAAATTACAACATTAATATAACGTTATTGTTAATTTGTGTTATACAGAGAGTTATTCAAGTCTTTGGACATGTGATAATATCAATTCTATTTTCAGATTCACGAACAACATTGAATATACCGATGCTCATCATGGAGCTATACCGATTAGTACCGTATAAGGAAGGCTGCTATGTGAATTTTCATCCATTTAATATGCCTTATATTAAAATACGTAAAATTGAATTAGTTGGAACTGTCACGCATGTTAAGCAAAATGTCAATAATCTGTTTCTGACAAGTAAGGCAAGAGGCTTGTTTCCTTTTTAGCTATTTATCTTTTCTTTTTTTTCTTCAATGTGAAGAGAAGAAAAAGAAAGATGAATCATACAAGAAGTTCAATTGAAAAGCCCTAAGGTGTGAGCAACAAGTTTAACAATATGCAAGAAGACACTTGAACTCTTGGATTCTCTTACAGTTGAGGATGGAACAGGAGTGGCGCAAGTTAATTATAAATTGGAACAATATATGTATTCGTTGAAACAACGGCAACAAATTGATGAGAAATATGAGAATCAAGCTGGAAATTTAAGGACAAGTGAGACAAAAGCGGGTACAAGCTGTCCAAAGAAGTTTCCTGAGACACGTCCACAATTCTGCTATCCACATGATGTGTCTTTACATGATACAGCTGTAAGAATTTAATAGTAAATTTAATCACTTATGCTACACTGGATTAGTGCGTATTAAAAGTTGCTTCATACAGGGTGTTAGTGAAAAAAGATCACAGACTTTAAAGATATATAGAACAACAAAAAATAATTTAAAAGATCTTAATAAATATAGATCTGAAAAATGAACAGTTGCCAAGATATCGCTCAGTCTTTGTTTAAACAATACTTTTGCTTCAAATCGACTTAATAATAATAACCCAGAAAAACACATTTACTGTTTATTTTTGTTTATTTTTATTATTTTTAAAGTAAATGTTTGAAACGTTTATCTTCTTAGAGCTTACTTGGATGTGGAAGGTGGATACTTTAAACATGTACTTTAAAAACAAAAAAAATAAGTAATTAAAAAATTAACAGTGAATATTTTTTCTGCATTACATTATTATTAAGTCGGCTTAAAACAAATGTTTAAACAAAGATCAAGAGATATCTTGGTAAACGTTCTTTTTTTCCAGACCTGTGTTTGTTAGGACTTGTTGACTTATATTTTTTTGTTCTACAGTCTGTAATTCTTTTTTTACTAATATTCTGTATAAAATATCTAAATGTAATGGCACAATGTAATCAATATTGAAATGTATATTTCGTTGAATAATATGATAATTTCATAACAGCTTCAATGCACTAATCTAATATAATGTAAGTAAATTTGTTATGAGAGAATATATATATAAATTATAAAATAAATAAATTCTATATATATTTATTGCATTAATATAGATGGATTATTTTCAATGGTAGGTCCTGGAGAACGAGTGGTGGTCAGAAACAAATGGTGGTTTGTTGGGTAAAGAAATTCAACCGTTTGATTATGTTTATATCACTGGATACCCATGTCTTGACACAAACTTTCAAAAGATACCAGAACAGATTACTGCAGAGTTTATCGAGAATGCAAAACTGATTGTGTTCGCAATGTCTGTCACATGCATCTCTGAGGAGATGTACAATAAAAAGTTGTTGATGTGGTTGAACACCACTATTTGCCAAAGATACACAGAGAATAAAGGCTGTGCATATACTAAAAAAAATAAATAGTGAAGTTATAAAAATTGTATTGAGACTATGTAATGTATTCTTAAAGATTTTTGTATATCGTTAAACATTATTCGATCAAATTATGTGAATTTTCTTCAACACCTAAGATATTGAATTCAATGTGGAATCACAGTAGCGATTTCAGTTCTCACAGAAGTGAATCAGTTTTAGCTTCCCTTTTAGAAAACAACGAGTATCATTCCATTTTTAACTATTTTCTCTAAAGAAATAATTTAAGAATTTATATCCAATTAGGAAGCCGAAAAAAGACGAAATTTCGTGATTTTTTTTTCAAAAAAGTATACATATTTGTATGAAAGGTTTTATGTTCGAAAGAACCCACTTTAAAAAAGTTGTATTTTTCTTTGTAAAAATATTAATAAATAAATAAGTTAAAAATAAATAACTACTGTCCATTGTAGAGTGGGCTTTGGAAGAATTCATATTTACTAACACAAGTATATATTTTAGCAGCACAATAGATGACCTGACAGGCAGGTAGAACACGAGATGATATTCATCCCTCGTACATCTGTTGTACTAGAATACTAAAAGCGCTTCGATAGACGTATATTCAAGATAGTCTATCTCCGTGAAAATACAGCGGATTAACTTGAAATTTTTAAGGAATATTTCTAACATTATACCTTAAGAAAATGTGATATTTGAAAAATCGATTTTTTTGAAATTTTTAACTACGGGTGTACCTCCTTAAATATTATAATTCTATTTCTGTTCTTATATCCATTGTAGATCAATTAACTTTAATCTTGATTTAACTTTTGTTTTAACTCTAAAGCCTGTTCTATAATGCGCATCTTATTTCTTGTTTCTTGCATTTTGCTATTTTTTTACATCTTGTTCTTTTGCCTCTTATCTCATTTCTCGTTATGTATCGTCCGAGATAAAAGTTAACGACTTTGGAAAAAAAAACAAGAAATACATGGCAAGAAATATAATTGTTGCCAAAATAAAATGGTTGCAAAATAGGGAAGAATGCAAGAGATAAAAAGCAAGAAACAGGAAACAAAAAGTACATTGTAGAATAGGCTTATCCAGTGAGAAATGACAATGGAATCGACGTCGAATCGATGTCAATTCGATGGTTTCGAAAACCAAAAAATTCACTGTAACTGACATTCAATAGCATTTACAAGAGCTACTGTGCCAGTAAGCATTGAACTCATAGCTCCGTTAATATTACGAATTTTGTAAAATCCTTTTACAGGAATATTTTACACACATAGGAATCAAAATAAGAAAACAAAAATTTCGATTTTTTTTACGCCTGTAAAGGTGAAACCCTCCTTAAGTTATATTGTTGAAAAAAATGTTTACTTTTTCAACAATAGGGATTTAGGGTACGTTTCTTAAAAGGAAAGCAGCCAGTCTAGGATGAGATTTTATTTGTGTTTTTTGTCGTACGAGCTTTCGAGCCTGTTGATTAGCTGGAGTAGGATAGAGAGATCCAAGGACCTCTCTGTCCTGCACACGTTTGTCGTATGACAAAAACGCACAAATGAAACGGCATCCTGTTGCTTGCGAAAATTGCTGAAAAAGTTTCTTCGAATTTAAGAATTTATGGAATACAAGTAAAATGCTAGTATAGTTCATTTTTAACAGATGCCGCACATCTGAGATATCTGATGCAATCTTTCCGGCTTCTCGCTGCTTCGACGTTCCGCCGTGAGAAGCTGTGGGCGCGCGCCCCGTGGCCCCATCGTTCCTGTTCGTCTGCCCGTCGTCTGCCGTTCGCGAGTGGGACGTCCGAGTGTGTGTGCACGCTTCGCCTGCCTGAGGATGGCCGTGATGCTGTCCAATTGTTCGCGATTCGCGCCTCGCGTAATCACGCGGAGTAGCGTGTTCCGGACCGAGGTGGGTATGATGAACGCGCTGCCTCCTCGCTCTACACCGCTTCTTCCCTTGCCCTGTCCATCCACGGGGTACGAATTGGTGATCGACACTTTACTCTCGCCCCGAATTAATCCAAAGTGCTCGCCTCGCGAATCGCGATTGGTTCCGTTTGCTCGTGAAGATTCATTCGAATTCTCCTGGCTTTTCTTATCGCGACGACGGTTACATAATACGTCCACCTCTCGACCCGATAATATCCTTGTGACTCATGCGGTATACACCGTCTGTCAATCAGACAAGAAGTTTTCCTTGTCAGGATAGATCAGTCTGCGATAAGCATCTAGTTATCCTGCTTGATATCGACTCTTTCTCTCTTTTCTTTTCTCGTTCTTTTCATGATTGAAATAATGACTATTTTTATTCGTATCATGTCAGCATTTTATAAGCTCAATTACTTCTTTTTCTGTCTGAAAATCAAGCTGTTTTCAAGCCGTATGTTGCCGTATGTATTAAACACGTTGTCAGAATAAGACTAACGCTGCTGCATTTTTTTTTTGCAGGTCGCGAGATCGTTGTGTAGTCAAGGTAAGGTTAATAAGAGATGATAAGACTGATAAGGCTGATGACATGTATATAACAAGGATTTTGAAAGCAACTGCTGTGAGAAACAAGTTAAACTTGAAAAAACTTATCAGCGAAAAATTATTAATTATAATAAATTTTTATAGGGCGCACTTTTATCCCTGTTTGCATTATCCATACCGAACGTGTGCCCAGTGCCAAAGCACTGTTGTAAGTAGCATTATTTTGTGACTTGTGTCTGCATGTATTCATTTTTGGTCTTACATGTGTCACTAATATAGAAGTTTGATAACAATTTATATGTTAGGAATTATAGATTTTTATTGTTGCGCTAATTATTTTCGATTCTCGAGTACTGATCATGTAACTTTTTCTATAGAGTGAAGATATAATTTTTAAAGTAAAAAGTGAAAAATTTTTTGTAATACATTTGTATATATATATATATATATATATATATATTCACATAATACGTACATATATTGAAAAGGTATATTATAATATAAGAAATGGATAAGGATTAGAGGCAAAGAAAGTAATAAAACTAAGGTGTTTATTTGAGCGGATATTAATTTTATTTAGTTTACTAAGGTGTGGGAATTTAAGAAAGGGTAATAAGTACTAAATTGTGAAAAACATTAGAGGAAATGTGTATTCTGTAGAGGAGATAGGGATAATTTAAGGGTTATTATGTTAGGAATTAGAGGTTACATTTATGGATTTTTAGGAAAAGAGGAAGGAAAAATCTGAAGAGGCTATGGGATGAAAATTTAGACAAAGTGAAAAGGAAATTATAAAGAAATTATGGAAAGAGAGAAAATATAGATATAATTAAGGTGGAATATGATTTGTGGGAGGAGAGAGGAAAGATAATAGTAGAAAGGAGGATAGGTATGGTGATTAGTACAATGCAGTAATACATAAATGTTCATCAGATTAAGATCATAGACTGTATGCAGGCTATGAAATAGATAAATAACTAGATATAGGATAGGAGGATAAAGAGGATAAAGGATAAAGAAACAAAAGGAAATGAATATGTAGTAAATGATCAAGTCAGATATGTAGGAAGTAGAAAAGATAAGTATACTAAACTATATTAGATAAGAGATGAGAAATGTTAGATGTTAAGTATATACCTATGTTAGTGCATGCAAAACCCTAAGAATAAGATATGGATGGATGAGTGTGTTAAGGAAAAATTGTAAACTAAATCCCCTTCCTCTCTGTGAAGATAGCCACGCAAAGTTAGCACCGCATATTTTTATTTTTTAAAATTTTTGGCCTAAATCAACAGTACTATTGATGAAACCTATCAGGAACTCTAGAACTATTGCGGGTGCAAGCAATACTGTTATTAAAATTTCCGATTCTTAAAGTTGAGGTGCTAACTTCACAGAGACATCCCCTTCTTGGCTATAAATTGTACATTGAAGTGAATAAATTCTATTTTTACATATGTATATTAAAAAAAATATTTACTTTTCAAAATTTTGCTCTATGGAAAAAGGTATATGATTGACTCTCTAATAGCAGATTACTGAGATTGAGCACATATCTTTTTAAAATCATTTTTTCCCTAAAGTGGAAACGTAAAAAGTAAAAAAAATTCTCTCCACATTAACTTCAATGATAAAATTTTTTTTCTTACATTTCCATCCTGTGGAAAAAAATATATGCATGATCGCTACCCAGAGGATGAAGGTAGAAGGATTAAAGGTAAAAACGTTTTTTTGCACGCTTGCAGATGTACAAAGTACAAAGTAAACCACTATTGGATAAATCAAGCGAGACATATACATGCAACTTCAGCACTATGTAAGTATGACATTTTACATTTTTGTTACATCCTAAGATTTCAGTTAATCTAATCGTATATAACTTGTTTTATCTAAATCTTAATCTAGGGGAGATCAGGGAAGTTGTAGTTCCTCCGTTTGCCGAAAGTGTAAGCGAGGGCGACGTGAGGTGGGAGAAAAAGGTCGGTGATCAGGTGAAGGAAGACGATGTCCTATGTGAGATTGAAACGGACAAGGCAAGCACCTTTTTCGATAAGTTCTTTGTTTAGTTTTTCAACCCCCACTATCGACTGAAGAGTCACAATACCATGTGATAAATTTGCATATTATTCTCCTCGGAAAGCAATGAACACACTTTATATAGAATAGTATTCCTTCTAATTTAATCAGGATAGTAATATCGATTGGAGCAATATCGCTCTTTAAATAGAGATACACTAGAATTTAGCTTTTAGTTTCACAGATGCAGCTATATTCTCCATATTTTATTAAAGCCTATTTTATTTAAGCCTGTTGTACAAGTGTAGTTATAAGTGGCTGTAGTTGTAAGAATTAAGAACTGAATTACAGTCGAATATAAGAAAAATGCTCGATTATAATTTGGTCAATTTTTATAAATCGACGCTGAACAACCACTTACAACTACACGAACGCAATTGTAGAATGAACGTAACACGAGATAGGAATAATCGCGATTATTACGAGAGATATAGGAGGAATTTAATTGCGCTTGCAGACTTCTGTTCCTGTACCGTCACCTGGACCCGGCGTCATAAAGGAGCTGTTCGTTAAGGATGGTGATACCGTAAAGCCGGGACAGAAGTTGTGCACCATCGACATCGGTGCAACCGGCGGTGCTGCGGCCGCACCTGCGGAGAAAACGCCGCAACCTTCTGCGGCCGCGCCGGCAAAAGAATCAAAACCTGTCGCAACGCCACCTCCTCCGACACCATCAAGTGCAGCACCTCCAGTGTCGAGACCCGCAGCGCCAATCCCACCTCCCGCCGCTGAACCACCACCTCCTCAAGCGCCTACTGCATCTATGCCAGTTGCAGCTATTAAACATGCCCAGGTAAATATTATTATTATTATGCATTATTATTTAACTTAAAAATATGAAAATGATATATTTTCAGTCGTTGGAAGGCGCAAAAGTTCAGCTACCTCCCGCTGATTACACGCGCGAAATAATCGGTACCAGGACAGAGCAACGAGTAAAAATGAATAGAATGCGTCTACGTATTGCGGAACGTTTGAAGGACGCGCAGAATACAAACGCTATGCTGACCACGTTCAACGAAATTGACATGAGGTAATTTTTAAGTATTATTGCTTATCAATCCGGCATTTTTTTCGTTAAAATAGTGGTTTTTTTGAAAATGTTTTTATATAAGTAACATGCACATGATGCAGAATATCGAGATTGGAAAGAGCCACAAAAGTGGCTTTCTCGGTAGTCTAAAGGTTGATTGGTGTTTACTAACGAAAGACACATACAGTGTAACACAGTGGGGTGTATTCAGTACTGCAACTACTTACTGAGCAGCTCATTGACGAACAACAAACATGTAATGATTTACTGTGTTATCATTTCGTTAATTGCGTAACACGAACAGACATCTAAGACTTATTCTTTTTACCTGCACTGTCTGAACTGGTGCACACAGTGCAATAAGTTGAAATAAAGCAAACGTATATCTGTTTTACTTCAACTTATTGCACTCTGTACACCAGTTCAGTAAAAAGAATAGACCTCTAGTTTTAGTTTATGATTGCATTTTAAATCCGATTGGTAGTGAGTGGTATGCAATTTAAGATTGAAAACTGTATTTAGAAATAAATATATAAAGTATTATTTTGCATTGAGTACCCAGGTATCTCATTATCCGGTTTAAATCATTAGGTCTAATTTGTACTTTTATCTTTCATTTCATATACATCATTTATTTGCAGTCGCATTATTGAGTTCAGGAAGACACATCAAGAATCGTTCACGAAAAAGTATGGCATCAAACTCGGGTTCATGAGTCCATTCGTCGCGGCAAGTGCCTATGCTTTAAAAGACCAACCTGTCGTGAACGCTGTGATAGACGGCACCGACATAGTATATAGAGATTACGTAGATATTAGTGTGGCAGTCGCAACACCGAAGGGACTCGTCGTACCCGTACTTCGCAGCATAGAGAACAAAAATTTCGCCGAAATCGAAATCGCTTTGGCTGCTCTGGGTGAAAAGGCTAGAAAAGGGAAGATCACCGTCGAGGATATGGATGGCGGTACTTTCACGATAAGCAACGGTGGCGTTTTTGGCTCGTTACTGGGAACTCCCATTATCAATCCACCGCAGAGCGCGATTCTTGGCATGCACGCTGTCTTTGACAGACCGATTGCTGTTAAGGGAGAGGTAAAGTGCATCAAAAGACGCATTAAGATCCCTTCTTAATTCTTTAATTTTATTCTTGAATTTTTTAAATTTTTTATTTAAATATTTAATTTTTTATCCTTTAAGTCTCTTTAATTATTTAATCTTTCAATTTAAAATTTAACCTTAAACTATGAAAAAATGTATAATTGCATTACGAAATTACTTACAAACGTTTGTATTCCCAGGTTAAAATTCGGCCGATGATGTATGTAGCTTTGACGTATGATCATCGGCTGATTGACGGACGTGAGGCTGTGATGTTCCTAAGGAAGATCAAAGATGCTGTGGAAGATCCTAGAATTATTTTGGCTGGCCTTTAATAACTTGCAACACATTTATCGTGCGTGTTAACGATGCGGTTGATTACTATTGGATAAACAAGAATGCGACGCGAGAATCTGGAATATCGACAGGGAGTCTTCCCGCTTCTAGAAATCTCTAATCATTGGAACGTCCTCTCTAAGGAACGTCTCTCGATATCTTATTTTGAATACCATTACTCTCCAAGCCACACGTGGGACGATGACAGGTGCAGTCGTAAATAATGATAAGCTTGTGCGAACTAGTCTTGTCTATTATTTTGAATTCATGCAACGAGAATATTGTAAAGCGAATTCACTTCGCTCGTTACAGTCTGTATATCGCTGGTCGACATAACTTTTGTTATTGGAATTTTTCAACACACTATCGGCAATCTGAGTGAATGCCGAACCGATAATTGCATTCTTGCGAGTATTCATATTTCTGTTGCCATACCGCTGTCGATCGGTGTTGAAAGGTGGAGCGCAGAGAAGTTGGGGGAGCCAAGAAAGGGCTAGATGGTACTTATCCTAAGTACTCTAGATGTAGCTACATAATAAGCTAAAATAAAATCTCACCAATCTAAGTCTTTTTAGCGTTGTTGAATTGTGCGTCACATTGCCGCCGTAGGATAAGTAATGTGATTTGATAAATATTTAAATACCGTGGAAGTGATATTACTGTTTGCACTTGTACGTTATGTATCAAGCATCTCGGGGGAGAGATTTGTTGCACGTGAGGAATTTTGCACTCTCAAAGAAAAATGGGTCATTCGTGATCTTGTAAATCAAAAGTTGTTTATTAAATAAAAAAAAAAAAAGATAAATCAACTATGTGGACAAGATATGTTTTTATGACAAAATATGTATATGGAAGAACGGGATGGACAGGACATTTTTAATCGCGCGTTAATGTACAAAAATAGAATACACTGCCAGGTCCTGCGACGAACGTTTAGAGTCGCTGTTCGAGTGTTTGATACGAATCCACTTGCGCTGTTATTGATAACAGCGAGTGTTTCTCTCGCGACATTTCCATCATTACGTTTGCATCGTCAGATCACAGCTTTATGCGTGAAGATGTGCGAATGCTCTTTTAGTCCCATTGTAAAATATATTGTATATCGTTCGATACTGTATATTAACGAGGAAACGCATATAAAGCACCCTTATTAAACATCGAATTTCGTTTCATTTTAACTGTACTGTTAGTACAGATCGTAATTAAACTAATATTTAATAATAATGGTTTACAATTATATGAATAACCAATTAAGTTAAGAAATTTTTTCTCTGATTTCTTAAATTTTTTTTTATGACTCGCATTAATTGTCTTTTAATTATTATTATTTCAAAAATAAGAGGAAGAAGAATTAATTATTGTATGAATAATTGTCGTTGATTTTCTGAAGAAACTCAATCGTTTCTCGTGTCTGTAAATTGAATAAGTTTTACCGACATCATTAATTGTGCAGCCAATAAATATAATTTTTTATACTTACTATGCAAAGTGCCTGAAAAAAATATAAATTGCCTGAAAAATTTTCTGAACATTTCCAAAACAAAATTCTTCATTTGCACCAGACATCTTCGATTATGCTTCGGAAACGAAGAAAAGTACATGAATAATTCTCAGATTTCCCAGAATGATCTAATTATTTTTTTGTTTCTGTAAATTAAGAGTACACAGTATTTTACATTTTTTATTTTCTATTCAGTTAATATATTTCATGCATATGTAAAGTACTAGAAAAAATATAAAGTGCTTAAACAATTTTATGAACGCTTCTTTAAAAAATTATTTGCACCAGAATATAATTTCGGAAATAAGAAAGTGTATGTGAATATTTCCTGAATTTTTCGAAGCGATCCGGTCATTTCTCGTGTAAATTGAATAAATACATACGTTTTACATCTTTTAATTTTATTCAGCTTATAGATAAGATCTTTCGTATACAAATTCAGAGAAGTTTATTTTAAAATAAATTTGGAACGTTTTTTTATCTGCAATCGCAAATCGCAGTAAATGTCGATCTTTTTTGTCGACTGTGCAGAATCGATTATCAAATCGCTGTTGGCAAATGACTCCGCTGTTTCGAAGAGCAGTCAAGTCAGATTGAGCGTCGTTTCGTGAGGGAGAATGGTGAGTCTGTCGAAATTATCGATTGATTATTATTTACCGCAGAACGTGAAGTATCTGTGCTATTCAGAAGAATAGAAAGCAATTGCGTATTGTTGCTAATTTTCTAGCTCTCTACTCTGTTTATTGATCATTTAGGTTAGCCATCCGTCAAATGCTTTGTCCGAAATTCATTTTTCAAGTTTTATCAAAAAGAATTTGACTTTTTTCGAACGATTATTATACGATACGATATTTCTTTCAATGAAACTTTTAATTTATCAATGAAATTTTTTAATAATAATAAATTGTCACACAGGGCCAGAATCAATCTGGGACTGGTGGCAGCGGAGGAGACAAGAAGGATGACAAGGACAAGAAGAAAAAGTATGAGCCGCCGATTCCTACGAGAGTGGGCAAAAAGAAGAGGCGTACTAAGGGGCCGGATGCAGCTCTAAAATTGCCACAAGTGACTCCTCACACGCGTTGTAGACTGAAACTATTAAAAATGGAGCGTATAAAAGATTATCTACTGATGGAGGAGGAGTTTATTAGAAATCAAGAGCGTCTAAAGCCGCAGGAGGAGAAGAACGAGGAGGAAAGATCTAAAGTGGACGATCTTCGTGGTACACCAATGTCGGTTGGAACATTAGAAGAAATAATTGATGATAATCATGCGATAGTATCTACATCAGTTGGCTCCGAGCACTATGTATCTATCTTGTCATTTGTGGATAAGGATCAATTGGAACCTGGTTGTTCTGTGCTGTTAAATCATAAAGTTCATGCTGTCGTTGGCGTCTTAGGAGATGATACGGATCCTATGGTTACAGTGATGAAGCTTGAAAAAGCTCCTCAGGAGACCTATACTGATATCGGAGGTATGTTATGTATATATATATATTTTTCTTTTGTTTATATTCATCTATTTTGTATTCATTTTTAATATTTATTTTGTATATATCTACATATATAAATTCTGATAAATTATATCTTGTTATAAAATTGTGTCAAACTTGAAAACATAAAATTTCAAACTAAGTTAAATTTTGATTGAAACTTAAGACTCTAAGACTCAAGCATAAAATTAAAAATGTTTGTAAATTAAAGTAACTTAACGAAAAAGAATTTTACTTATATTATAGTTATTGAAAAAATATTGTTTTGGTACAAATTATGTAAAATTGTTAAAGAATTGTTATGTAAAAATTAAGGAATACGGTTGATGTACATATTTTCAGGTCTTGATACTCAAATTCAGGAGATTAAAGAATCAGTAGAATTACCATTGACTCATCCAGAATATTATGAGGAAATGGGTATTAAGCCTCCAAAAGGTGTGATACTCTATGGGCCACCTGGTACAGGGAAAACACTGCTTGCAAAGGCTGTGGCCAATCAAACATCGGCTACATTCTTGAGGGTTGTTGGTTCTGAACTTATACAAAAATATTTAGGAGACGGTCCAAAACTTGTAAGAGAGCTTTTCAGAGTTGCTGAGGAACATGCTCCTTCTATTGTCTTTATAGACGAAATAGATGCTGTAGGAACGAAAAGATATGACAGCAATAGTGGAGGCGAAAGAGAGATTCAGAGAACTATGTTAGAATTGCTTAATCAATTGGACGGTATGTTAATTTCTAATACAAATTCAGATAAAAATCTTTATATTAGTAAACTTTATGTTAGATAATAAAAACATTAAATATTATTATAAATAATAAACATATCAGATGTTATATATATAAATTTGAAAAATTATTACTAGGTTTTGATAGTAGAGGTGACGTGAAAGTGGTTATGGCTACTAATAGAATAGAGACCTTAGATCCTGCTTTAATTAGACCAGGTCGAATCGATAGGAAAATAGAATTCCCACTACCAGATGAGAAAACTAAAAGAAGAATCTTCAATATTCACACGAGCAGAATGACTTTGGCACCTGATGTAAATCTTGCAGAATTAATTATGGCGAAGGATGATCTTTCTGGTGCAGACATCAAGGTAGGATTTTTTTGTAAAAATTGAATTCTCTGCATATACATTTTGTACTTTTATAATGTTCTTTTTTATTAAAATAAGAGAAAATAATACTTGTGGTAAAAAATCAACACTAAAGAAAGTTAAAGTAAAATTGTAATCTTTTATTGTTTCACACACATTAAAATGAATTAAAAATTTTTATTTCAAATCATGAAATTCGATAAATTAAGGACAAATAAGTAAGAGTGCAGCATTGTTATTGGTACACACAAGTAATAAGAAGTGAATTTCTTCAAATTACTCCTTTATTGCAATGAAATAACAAAATTTAGAACGTTTTTTGACCCTTTTTGGAGTTATTTTCAAGGAATATAATTTAAAATGCCTTCTTTGTAATTGTTTAACGAGTTACATCAAATTTACAAATTTGATGTTGAAACTTCTGTTAAATTTATTAATTGGTAATAATTAATTAAAAAAGTTCTTTTGATCGTAAGGAATAAAAAGTGACTCACCTTACATAATAAAATTTTTATTTCAGGCAATATGTACCGAGGCTGGTTTAATGGCTTTACGTGAACGACGTATGAAGGTTACCAGTGACGATTTTAAGAAATCGAAGGAAAGTGTGTTATATCGGAAGAAGGAAGGTTCTCCCGAGGGATTATATTTATAAAAAAAAAAGTTCATAATTGCTTATCTCTGTATGATTGAGTCACGAAACTGTCCAAGTGTCTCAATAAAAATTTATATAGAAGATTAATTTTTTGTAGCAATATATATTAAAAATATTACTTTTATTAGTTTTAATATGTACAATCTAACCAATTATTCGTTCCGTAAATCTATAAATTGCAACTTAAATGTATCTAAACAGTTGAATTTATTCCAGTGTCCGATTTCTCCAAGTCTAATTTGAAATATTCGTGTAACCTGTTTATTACTTCTGCAGAATTTTCTCTCTGCTTGCTTAGGATTTCTGAGAACGAAGCATTCTCATGTGGATTGAAAGGTTTAGTTTGTGATTCCACATTGCATATCCAACATGCACCGCGTCTGGTCTTTTCAAGAGCTACCGCCACGTCTGTGGGATGTTCTAATGTGAATGTTGAAGCAGCAGCCAGACCCTTGTACCTTCCCAATATGAAAGCGGTTTCAAAACCATCTTTATAACCAATATCGAATCCTTCTTGCAACACAGAGTCTGCTCCGTCTTGTATCCCTTCTCTATAGCCAGTCTAAAAATATGATTATCAAATGCGGCATAAATATCGCGTCATAATCTTCATTGAAAATCGCTTACGTACTTTAACAGCAGCATCTGTAATACGTTTCCAACATTTTGAAGCGATGTTCAGAGACTCGTCATCTTTAGCCAAATCGTCCTTTGTCGTTTGTATTACATCTTCCATCGTGTAGTTATCCTGTCTGATTCTCCTTAAAATAATTTGTGATGCTCAACGATTTTGTAATATGTTTCAAGCTAAATCAATCAACAGAAACTTTTATTTCTGCTCAAATGAGTGTATTTTTACAAAAATTTAAGACGAGATAGTTAAAGTAAACAATTTATACTCAGATTCATTGTACATATGTACAGTTGCATTGTGCGGTTATGTAATTATAGAGCTAGCACTAAATATTCGTAATAATTCGTGTAATTATACGCGGAATCAATATAAAAAGATTAAACAGTTACAATGTTTACACTTACAGTGTTTACATATGTTTGATATTCCTGCGGTATCGTATAATCGGTATAATAACCTTAACAACAGACGTTATAGGTTAAATTGCGACTACGATTGGACATAAATATAAATATGACTGTCGCGTTCAGCAGACTCAACCATGGTGGAAGTATCCACCATGGACTCAACTAGCATAGGTGCCGTTTTGATTTTTTTGTAAGGGGTGTTTGTTTAAAAATCGTAAGACATAAAAGTGCTATAGCATCTACACAAATGCTCCACAAACGATTCAGGAGCTCAAAAACAATATTCGACCTGTTGGCGAAATTGAGCCGCAATTGTGCGAAAACGTGATAAAAAATTTCCTTAAAACACTATTTGTAAGAAAAGTCAAAGCGGCCATTTAGCTATCCACGCGATCATGTCTCACGTTTAATCACACAACTTGTACTTCAGATTAGAATAAATATCTCAACTTCAATTTCAAAAATTATTCGTTCTCTTATTAATTTAAAATGAAACCTTAATGGAAGACGCTGTATTTATTATTTTGCTGAAAAAGACTGTCAAAATCCTCTTTGATATTTTATAATAAAATTATTTTTATTTTCTACCTGTAGCCGCATTAATTCTTTAAACTTTTATTGGTCCTTTTTAATGTATTATTGTTTCGCAAAAAATTATATCTGCTTTAAAAAAAAAATTATTATTTAAAGAGAATATCTTTAATATAGATTGGAAATCGTTAATATTTTTCAACATAATTGTATACTGATATTTTATTTTCTGTATAATATTTGTATTTTGTTGATTAAAATTAGTAATAACAATAAGAAGGGCTACGAGCCAAATGTTGTTTGATTAAATGTTTTATTTTTAGCTTATTAATATATATATAATATTATTTCTGTGAGATATATATTTACAATTAATATTAATCTATTAAAATATATTTAACTACTCAAGGATTTAATTTTTGCAGAAATGAGCAAAAGTATGTTCATTAGAATCGAAATCGTACAGTGAACGGAGTCCATTCGTCTGCGCGATCTCTTTCAATTCTTTAGTAAAGTTTTGCAAATCTTCTTTGCGAAGATCTGCCATATGTTTGCGTAATTCCACAATTATTGATGCATTAGCAGATATCAACGGTGCCAAATTTGGTAATTGTTTTATCATATTATGCGCCACCCAAATCAGATGGAATTTATTTACGTATTCGCATTTAGACTTGAGAGACTCCAGCGATGTTGCAGGATAAAATATTATCTAAAAATAAGTGTTGTATACCAAATTCGTTGACTTATTAAAGCATACAAAACATACCTTGTGATTTGATACTTTTATCCAAGAAATTTTTTTATCTTGTTTAGATTTATCTCCGGTACTTATCCACGATTCATTTTCCATTTCGATGTCCGGTATTTCACTTACTATAATGCCATTTAAAATCGAGATATCCCTATGAGCACCGACTTGCTTCTCACATAGCGGTTCTTTCATTCTTATTTCATGAATTGCACGCATTACCTCACGTTCAGCAATGTCAGTTGCCCTACATCTTTAAGATTTAAGAACTTTTATTTATGGGAAGTACGTAAATTTCTCTTTTGAATATATTTTATTACTTGTCTTCGTTTTTTTTAACAGCAGCCCATGTAAAAAAAGGACCATTCACAATATCTCCTAAATATGCATAATGTATAAAACCACGTCCATGTTGAATTATATTATTCAACAGGGTTGGATTGCTTCTAACTGGTTCACCTTCGAGCCATGTAAAAGCTACACCATTATTTCTCCAAAATCTAATAATTATAATAATATATTTTGTTTTTTTCTCATTGGTATATTGAAATAATCATTTCACCTAAAGAAGCATATTAACTTGCTCGCAAGTTTTGTTTAGGTATAGTTTTAACTGTATGTTTACAAACATACCTATATTCTTGTATAGTAAGATTAGTGGCACATCTGGGCTTTAAAACCATGTAATAATCCCAATCGAAAACGCCTTCTCTATAGTCATATCTCGTTTTTAGCAATTTCCTGATTCTACGATCCCAATAATTCAGAATAGGGACTCCTTCACATGTTGCACGTGCCCAGAATCTTATAAGAAATTATTACAAAAATTAATACAGAAATGCATAAATGCTTGCATAAATTAAGTACCTTTACTTAAAACTAGTGGCGAATTTTTCTGCCTCTATATACTTTGCATCTTTTAAATTAAGTTTTGCTCGAGTGTCTTAGATATCAAAATCCGCCACTGTTAAAAACTATTTTATTACGTTGTATCTTCTTAAACTTAACGTCAATCAACTTACTTAAAAATAGATTCCAAATTATCTCTATCCTTATGCTTAAATTTTTCTAATGATAACCATGGACACTCAACAGTGCGGGTCGGAATATCAATCAGTTGTTTGGCGCATTTTGCTAAATATTTAGCCGTAGCCGGTCTCAAAAGAGTGTTCCCTAAAATCTCCAAGTAATATCGCGTTGCTTCTTGCAGTCCTTTGATATATTAATCATATATGTTGGTTCCATTGATTTCTAACATAAGCTCGATAAATTAGTATTCACAAATACATACCCAAATCTTTTTCTAAGCAAAGACTTAATAAAAGTATCGATCTAGCAACTTGTTCCAAAGTTGGTTCAATAACGTGATACGTTATAGTTCGATCAGGATGTGTGTAAGATGAAGCTAACGTCTTCACAATGTGTCGTGCATCACCAGAACCTACAATCAATACTTCAAGATTGTTTAAATTACGGTTTTCTATTTGTATTACTTCAGCTTGTAAATCTAACGGTTGACTATATCCCCACATGTTATTTTAAGATTTGCTGAACTTTACGAAGTATACAGTCATAAAATAATTAAACATGTACTTCACAGGATTTCTCTCTATTATCAAGCTTGATTTGAAAGATGTTATTTCCATGACAACCTCAGAAATAACACAAACCATGCTATGTATGTAAATGAAGAGAATCATCAGGTTCAATAGAATGTGTTTTGAAAATAAAATATTCCTGCAGTTTTTTTGCGTCGATTATATTTTTGAATTTAGAGGAATAGTCCTATTTCAGTGAAGAAAACTTTCAGCAAATTGCATAATATTGTCCTGAACGTGGTCAATATTTATTCGAATTGTATTTTGTTCTAATATTTTAATTTCTTCTAAGAAATCACGTTCCATCTAAATAGAGATATGTGCATTAATTAGAGGCAGAAAGTAAATAAATAGAAAGACATTTGACTAGAGGAGTAAGAAGTATTATATTAAAATAAAAACGTTATAGATTTATATAATAAAATTATAAACATATTATTATATAGCGACATAGTCATGTCTTTTTTAGACTTATAAAACCATTTATTTATTCCTATATATAGAATCTGTGACACAGATAAAAATAGTTCCTTTTTGAACTTTCCGTCAACAAAGTTCGTTTATAACGATTCTACGTATTTATTTAGCACAATTGCTCATTTATCCCTTTTTTTCTGTGCTCGTTTGTTACCACAGCGTTGTAAAAGATCAGTAATAGGACCTTTATGTTGAAATATAGCAACTAGTTGTGTACGTGCTTCGTTCATGCCCTCACTGATTAAATTGCTGCGCTGCATATTCCCCTTAATCAGCTCATTTACTCGTTCGAGACCATCATTATGTTTACTTTTAACAGTTTGCTGTGATTCCAGTAGCGCGAGTGTCGCTTTTAATTTTTCATGAACCTACAAATATATTATACGAACATGATTTTGTTGTCTAAACGTAAATAAATTGGAGGGAAATCTAAACAATGCGACTAGTCAATATACCTGTTTTTCAAGGGATGCAATATCTTCCATTTGTGTAGTGAGATGATAGATTTTCCATCCATTCAATCTCTGTAATACATATTTCTGTTGTGCTAGTTCAGCAACTGTTGGTCTTCTTTCCTCATGAGGTCGGACATCGCTAGGTCTTCTATAATGCGGTAATTTAATTTCTGCCCATCTTTTTTTCCAAGAAGAGTCTGAAAATATGTGAATAGGAAGAAAATAATTAACATAGAAAATACGAACGACATAATGGATCTAACGGAATAAAATGTTTGTATTATATATACCTAATAAACTTGGTACAGGCCGTGATCGTATTGTGATTTCTGTTTGCTGAGTAGATAATTTAATATCACTTTGTACATTGGGAAGTTGCCTTTTGTCGGACAACTTCTCTTTTGATTCCTCTTTATTCTCCTTCTTTAATTTTTCTTCAGTAAGAAATTGCATTTCTTCCTCCGTAAATTTAGGTTCAGTTAATTCTACACCTGTAAGTTGCTGTTTGCGTGGCTTTTTTCTTGGTGACATTTCTATAGTGGGATTAATAGTAATTCTGGATTGTTCAAGTTCCTCATCGAGGCCTGGCGAAGATGTAGCAGATACAGTCGTAGATCCAGAACTTTGGCATCCACCACCATCCTGATCGCCCTTCGGTGAACATGGTGGACTGGACATTGATCTACTTGATGGCAAAGATGCTAATACGGGAACTAAATTTTTAGCTGCACCTGCAAGAAATTGTGACTCCCCTGTGAAATTGAAATTCTATAATGGATGTTCATTAAATAAGTATAAGTAATTTATTAGCAAAAAATTTCAGGTCTTATTTTATAATATATATAATAGAAAATAGAGAAAATAAAAATCATTATAATTAATTATAAATGTACAATGGTATATTGAAAAATTATACACAGAAAATTTACCTCTAATATCTAATGTATTTCTATTTTAATATTCTTTTTGTTTTAAAATATGCCAACAAACTGAGTAATAAAACGAAGTAATAGAACGAGTAATAGAACGAGTAATAGAACGAAGTAATAGAACGAGTAATAGAACGAGTAATAGAACGAAGTAATAGAACGAGTAATAGAACGAAGTAATAGAACGAGTAATAGAACGAGAATTCTTTTTCATATATAAATAATCACACCTATCACATATAAACATGTTATTAATATATTATAAGCTCGACATTTTCAAGCATGTTTCACAACACGCTGTAAAATTAAATCTTTCAATTACTTTTTATTCTTATAAATCGATAAAGGATATGTGCAGTTAGCACCCCAACTATAGTACTCAGGAGTTCTGATTAGAGTTCCCACTTCCTTTTGACGAGACGAAGAGTTCCCTATAGTTAATAACAAGAGTTCCACTCAATAAACATTTTTTTTACATTTTTTAAAAATGGGGTGCTAACTTTTTATCGAATTTCGAGGTGGAATAGTTCTGAGCGGCTTAATAGCTTCAATTTGCGATTGCCTAGAGTTCCTAATATGTAAAAAAAATTTTCGAATAATAAAAAAGAAATTAAAAATTTTTGAAAAATTAATTTTTAGATACAACAGTTCTGATGATAATTCCTGCTTCTTTTTGACGATACGAAGAGTTCTCTATGATTTTTAATGACTATGCGCTTAATAATCATTTTTTAATAATTTTTTAAAAATGAGGTGCTAACTTTTTAATTCAAGGTCGCATAGTTCTGATCAGCTGAACAGAACTATTTTGCGAATACCTAGAGTTCTTGATACATAAAAAACATTTTTGAAATATAATAAAGTTTTAAAAAAATAGTGGAAATCTTTGAAAATTTTTTTGAGAGTACCGAGTAGTTCTGAGTTGCGTTTTTTATAGTACTCGACGAGTTCTATCGAAAACTGTAAGGTGAAAAAGCGATTAGACCAACGGTTTGCAAGATACAGCGACATTTGTCGGAAGATCAACAATTTTTAGAGTGAGTATATCTCGGAAACCGTTGGTCCAATCGCTTTGAGCCCTGACTTTTCGACAGAACTCGCCGAGAACTGTCCAGAACTCCGATCAGAACTACTCGGTACTCCCAAAAAATTTTCCGACGTGAGACTTGGAAAAAAATTTTTGATAAAAAATGTTGTGTGTAGAATAAATACTTTTTATATAACATGTCATTATGGCTTCATTTATATTTACTAATATAATCGTACCTTTAACTGGTGAATTGTCATGATCCCTCTTTCGTAGAATGCTCGGTCTAGGAGACGCATTAGGTTTACCATGGGGTTCTTCGTATCCTGGCTCAACAACTAATCTCACTGGCTGCACTGAAGCTTGTCGAAACTGTGAGTACGTTCCTGGAAAAAAAAAAAAAAAAAACAAGATTATTTTTGTTATCACAGGAGGAAACAATGCAATTATATTTATCACAGGATATAAGAATGTAAAAGATAATCCACCTATTAGTGTTTATAAATTGATTTTTACCTGTAGTTTCAAAGGAAAGATACGTAGTAGTATGTGGTGGATGTATATACTGCCCTTGGACTGGCTGAGCAGAACTTGTGACTGTACTGCTGTTGGTGGACGACATGCGTAAATTAGCTTGTGGTGCCGGTTTCACTTGGACAGTTTGTCCAATATTTTGGGACTGTGTAGGCGCAGCCTTAATCGGCGCCGATGTAGCTCTGACCGGCAGAGCGATAGGCAAAGGGTGTAAAGACATTCCTGCGATTTTCGCTACTGTAGTTGGAACTGTTTGCAGTATGCGCATTGCATTTGACTGTGTATTTGCGGTCGTTGTAATTACTTGTGATACGGTACTGAGGCTCGACAGAGATGTGACGGTTTGAACGACACGCGGTGCACCTTGCTGTGATTGAACCTATTAAACAATTGTTTATCACTCTGAGAGAATTTTCAATATATTGTAAATTAGAGTACGACATCTACCTGTTGCGAAGGAATAACGATATGGCTAACAGTCGATGGTCCGGCCACCGTATTACCACTAATTGACAATTGTCGTCCTACTGTTGGTTCCACTGAACCGACAGTAACTGAAGCTGCACTGCTTATTCTGTTCACTGTCTCCACAATGGGTGATGCAGCTATGCGTTTCGTACCAGTCGTAGTTAGAGGTCTGCTAGATTGTGTAGGCTAAACATTTTAATAAAATTCATAAATTGTTTATTTTCCTTCTTGGCATTTATGTGCAATTCAGAAAAGTAGTACACTCAACCGTCACGTATGCCTTCACCTCCGGGTCAAACGCATTGTGTCGATATTCGTGTACCATGACTCAAAACTGTGTTTGACAACTGTAAGTTTTTGAAAGTGCGTAAAAGAGTAAACAAAAAATTGTACAATATTAAACATATATATTATACATATAGATATACATATATTAATATATTATGTTATATAATTTACTTGAATGGTTTGTGTCGACGATCTGATGGGTTGCGAAGTCTGTGACACAGTTACTACTTGCGGCGTTGGCGGTCTGTTTTGTGCAACTGGATGTCTAGTAAGATTAGTTTGCAAGACTGGTGCTATTAACCTGGACGAACTACCAGCAACCATAGTAGCTTGAACAGATCTTGCTTGACTGGCTGGTGTAATTAATCGTGGCTGTTGTCCTGTATACACAGTGGTGGACGATGGTCTGGAGACTCTGCTGACGGAAGGGGCGGGATGTCTTTGTGGCTGTGCGTATAGTGCAACGGATGTTGTTTTAGGTTGCCATTGGGGATTAGAAATTGGTGTATTACTACTGAAAAAATCAACACATGATGCGATATAACTGGTTTGTTCCATTAATTCTGTGTGTAAGTATATATTTCTAAATAACTATTTCAATTTTTTCCTTTTAATTATATATATTTCATTTATTTGAAAATCATTCAGAAACTATTATTTTAAGTATGTATGTACCCTGATCTAGTAACAGGTACAATTTGTCCAATATTTGTCCTGATGATAGGAGTGGCAACTGTCGTCGATCTAGGTGCAGAGATATTAGCAACTGCAGCAGGTCCACGTGGTACATGGTACGTAGCTGGTATAGTGACTGGATGTGGTAATTGTGTTTGAGATGGAATTTGCCTTTCCACAGTACTTAACATTCCTGGTGATATTATTTTTACTGTAGATCCTATAGAACATAACTAGAAGCATTGAATCTGGTATTAATAAATCTATCACAAATGTATGCATGATTATTAAAGCGCTTGACAATTAAATTTTCCATTATTAAAATATCCTACATTTTATAAAATACTTTTTGGTATATTTAATACTAAATATTGAAATAAATTTCAATACATTTTATTATAAAATAAGATATTCTACTATATTTTATTTTGCAGTAAAACATTTTATTTTATAGTAAAACATTTCATTATAAAATAAAACATAACTGTAGCATTATTGTAAGCAATATAATAATAACGTTATAATACATTATAATATGAAATTAATGTTATAATATCAATATTATAATATGAATTTCAACACAATGCTAGAATTACCGTTGTTGTTATTTTACTCGTTTCTGTAGACGAGGTAGTACCAGAAGGTACTACAGGCTTCATTAAAGACAACTTTGGATTCATATCCAGAGATATCGATTTGCCTACTAAACTGCTGGGTGTCATGGATCCAACGATAGTCTGGGTCGGTTGAATGTTCGGTACATTACTTTGCACCATGCTCTGTACACTCTGTACATTCTGTTGCATTGTAGTTAAGTTTTGTGCCACAGTCTGTACGGTAGTTTCTGGTAGACGTTTGTCACCACTACTACTCACAGTGCTTATTGTAGTGTTCATGGCTGCGCTATTAAAACAAAACGGATAAATTAATAACAGGCTGCATATGGAGATGGATCAGAGCAAATCAGGAAGGTGATCCACAAGAGCCAGGAGATTATCCACAAGGCTACTCTAGTGAGAGGTGAGGTGGGTTTACACGGGAGTTGACCTGCAAGCTGCTCTCGACACATAATGCTCAAAGCAGGACGAGCCATCTGTATGACGACAGTTTGGGCTGTTGTTTTATGTCATAATGGAGTATCGGTCCAAGCCTCAAACAAACTTTGGAGGTTACGGCGACCCGTTGATGTGTACGCGGGAGAAGATCCCGGACGGACAAGGACGTACTGTCGTCGCATCGTCGAACTTGCACACTTCTAAGGGCACACTAGTCAAGCACCAAATATAGGACCATTCTCCGTCTATTCGCGAGTAGTGTTTCGAGCGGTCCACAGTAGTCAACTGCCCGCGTAGCGTCACCGTGAAAAGGCGCGTACCTGCGTAGAAGCCTCGGCCCGGGAAGATGATGCCGAATCACTCGCAGGCCCACGTAAAACCCTTCTCGTGCATTCGGAATTGGTAAACGCTTGTATCGGGGAACAACACATACCAAAATCTGGATAACGCTTCTAGCATCGTTATAACGACGTTTGCGGCGCGCAATCAGACAAATGTAAGTAAGCACAATACAGGGCAGGAATGCGGCTTTTAAGATGAAGAAATGTTCCATTTATTGCGTGGCGTCCACATAGGAACTTTCTTCTCGAACTGAATGCAACTCTGACCGACCAATCATGGAACTGTTAAGGCTCGATTGTACCAACGATACTTTACGTAAGCTTAAAAATCTCTTTTAATCTTGAATGTGTGACTCTTATTAGCCTTGTACCCTTTTATTATATTTTAAATACTTAAGAGTCCTGTATTTTCATTTTTAATTTAAAAATCTCTCTCTTTTTAAAGTCGATAATTTGACAGAGACTCTTTTTTACATCGAGCACTTGATACGCGTTTAACTAGTAATTTTCTATTAAATAATCTTAATTTCAGCAATGTATTTAAAGAATAATGTATTAAATTAGTAAAATATATGCATCAAATTAATTAATTAAATACACATTGATATCATGTATATATGTTTATACATAACGCTGAAATAAGATAATTCAATAGAAAGTAAAACCCATGGCACATAGAAAAACGTAAGGCCGTAAATGGCTGTAAATGTTACGATTTCTATTGTAGACTCCATATAACAACCAATTATGTTCATTTGCTCGGTTCATTTGTCGGGTGCGGTCCAATTGGCGCTACAAATCCTTCGAAGCTTTTGACTGACCAATCAGAAGAAAGAATTATACTAATTGTCCAATCAAAAAATGCTTCGAAACATTCGTAAATGGACCGCAGCCATTGTTGTGTAGTTTACATCCACTTCTTCAGAGGGCAATAGTGCGCGGTACCAATTTGTGGTTATAGGAAAGAAGTTCTCTTCATCTCATGTTCTCTTTTAGGTTTCTCTCTGCGTCACAGTGACAGTACTGACAGTTATGTTATTTATGTGAACAGTAATAAACGGTTATATAGTTGGTATAGAAATATAATCAATAAATGATAAAAAAAAAACATAAATATCTTATTAAAATTGTGAAATAAGAATCGTTATTTCTCCGAACAGGTAATTTTTTTATATCTAAAATATTTGTTATGGTAATATTTTCTTGTATTCATTATATTTACTGTTGTATTTGCTAATGTAATAGTTTTGATATTTCGGATACAACAAGAAGAAGAATGTATTAAGTATAGAAGTAACGTTTGATCATATTCATTCTTTATTCTTCGTTGCTGTATGCTACATTGAATAATATAAAGAAGATGAATTTTGGAGTGGATTGGGATGCTGAACATCGGCGTATTTTGCTGGATGGAAATGCAGTATTAGAACGTTCGGCACAGTCGGTCGCAAGATCGCAAGTTGTCGCTACAGAAAATGAGCAAGTTGGTACAGAAGTGATCTCTGAGTTAGGTGAACAAAGGGATCGTCTCTTGCGAGCAAAACGGAGATTGTCACAGACAGATGAGGAATTGGATAAAACGAGAAAAATTCTTAATATTATGCGATTAAAGGTTTTGACAAACAAAATTGTGCTAATCTTGATTATTTTACTAGAGTTAGTTATTCTTGGTATAATTGTATATTTAAGATTTTTTCATAAATAAGCCGTCTACTATTAAGCTTGATAAACTAAGAGGAAATGATATTGTACATAATATAAAATATAATATATAACAATTGATAGTTGTGGTTAAGCAATTTTTGTAAAATTTAATGAAATAAATATGTAAACTTTAAGATAAGTTTTTTTGAAAAATTAATTTTTTTTCCCGTGATTATTTTGATTATTCTTTTATATCTTTCATATGTTACTGAACTATTTCAAAATATATTATAATTAGATATGTTTTTTACTGCATTCTCTGTGCAATAGTTCAGCGAAGGCAGGAATAAAATAATTCTATAGTGAATTTATATAAAATTTTATTTAGTTCTATCAATTAATAGTGAATAGAGCAATATTAAAATTGTTGCTCACTTCATGCATGTTTCATAATTTAATTATTTCACATTATTGTTTCATTAGCCTGTCATAAACGAATGATAAGAAATCCTCAAAATGGTTATTCTGCATGACGATGAATATTATCGAAATAGAATACCCGAGCCCGACTTAGGAGCATTTCAAAATTTTTTGCTATTTGTTTGGAATCCAGATAGAAGACAGTTGCTTGGCAGAAGTGGGAAAGAATGGGGTAATTGTTTGAGAGGTATATTCTCTCAATTGTTAATCATTACATAATCATATGATTGTTACATATACAGGCTTGTTAGGACTCTTCTATTTATGTTTCTTTACTGTATTGGGCTCCTTGTTTGCATTGCAAATGTGGATCAGTATCGACTATGTCTCGAAACTAGAAAGACCGTTTTTTCTTTACAGCGGCTTAACGCCTAAATCTTATTCCGATGATAGTTTTCCGCTTTTTCGTCAATTAGATTTTAATAATCCAGGTAAATTTTTCTTAAAATGTAATAAAATATAATATGCTGTTTCAGTTGCAACTGAAAATTCATATACTAATAGCTCAATAAACAAGAGTGAAGACAGATTGAAACTGATTTAGATTTTCAAAAATATTCATTCTCAAAATGTTAAAATAAATACTTTTCAATCTAAATGCATTTTTATTCATTTGTAGGATTGCATGAAGCATATTTCTGTTTTTCAATCTTAAAATAATATCAGCTTGTTCTGTTCATTATAAGTACTATATTTAATTAAAAATTCTGAATAGAAAATACAGTTTTTCTATCCAATTGATATTTCAATGAACTTAAAAAATATATAAAAGTTTCAATCTATTTTAATCAATTTTTTATTATTGGACATCTTCATTATTATTATTGGATATCTTCATTATTATTATACTTTGTTTAAAACAGGAATTGCCTTCAAACCAAATATTTTGCTGCCCACGAAATCTCCTATTATTTGGGTAGATAATTCTAATACAAATGCTCGACTAAAAAGATATGTACAAGCGTTGAACGACTTTTTACAAGGTATGCATATCAAATAAATAATAATGCAAGTAAAAGAAAATAAATAATGCAAGCATTAATAATCAGTATTCTTTAATCAACAACTCAGTGTCTGGAAAAAAAATTTAATATGTAAATAGAAATAATTTCGTGTGGTCATTAGCGAATCTAAATTCTTGATGTTTTTTAAATCGGTGACAAGGGATTGAAGCTACTTTTCAATCAAAAGAAAGTTTTATGGAAAAAAATGAGCCGTGTAATTCATGATACGGGATTGGAATGACATTATAATTGCTATTTTTTCAGTTCAAAACAGATCTGAGAGTCTCAAATCCAGTTTTGTTCATAATATAGAATTAGGAGAGTCTTATATTTTTTCAATTGAAAAAAATGTCTTGGATTATGAAATTATAATTGAATAAGTTAATTTAAAAAAGACCGGAATCACATTAAAATCGGTTAAGATTTAAAGATTTTAGACAATTTTGAACACTATTTCTGATTTTTCTACATTGTGCGGCGATTAGAACCTGTTGAAGGTCATTCGGGATCATGACTTTGGCTACATATGTCAAGATCAAAATTATTAGAGCTGGTTCCCCTAACTCGATATTTATTATATCATCTTTTAATTGTATTTTAAATATAAAAAAACAAATTGAATAGAAATTGATTTTATATAAAAAAATAATTACAGTAAAGTATTTTCTATTTTAATAAGGAAAAAGATGATCACTAACGTTTTCATTTTAGAGTACAATAAAAGTAAAGAGAACTATAAAACAGTTGCGGAATGTAGTGATAGATCATTAATCACATCTAATACAAAACCTTGTTTTTTCGATATTGAAAGTCTTGGTGTTTGTGGACAGCCTCCATATGGATATACTGATCCATTACAACCATGTGTTCTCATTAAGTTCAATAAGGTAAATAATAATTCTATTTTTTTTAAAATATAAGAATATAATGATGTAAGAAATTTATTAGGTCAGAGCAAAAGTTCTTGCAGATTTTTTGCAATCCTTGTTTATTACAATAAAAAGATCGATACATTGTATATTAAACTTCCATCTCGTTTTCCACGATATTGTGCATCAAAAAACTTCATTATAATTTCAGTAAGATCATCAGAAATTGTGAACAAAATTACATTGAGATATTTCATCGAAGTATCTTATTATAATTTCTATTAAAAATTTTTACTACATAAAGTTTCTTAAAAATTAATTATATTTCAGAGATTTAATTGGATACCAATTCCTTATAACACATCATCCCTCTTACCAGAAAATATGCCACATGCTTTGCAAGAAGCTGTAAAATTTTCAAACAAGGTTTGATTCAAACTTATCATGTATATCTGGAGACACGGTAGTGTCTCGGCGCTAAGCCAAGCGCGCGACACTGCCGTGCCTCCTTTACGCGAAACTGAGAAATTTTCGGGGTCGAGATGATTTAATAACACTGTGTAACCGATTTCAACTTTTAAAATTTTCCAAAGGGCGCGTGGGTTTGATTGTGTCGAGAACACGGCCCACTATCATTTTCCCAAGAGATTTGGTAAAGTTAGATCGTAGAAGAATGGGGCATAAATATTAATTTCGAGGAGTACCAGTTGCGCTATTCTCATGGTTTTGAGATCAAATATTATCACAAATACGTACACGCACATACATACACATACTCACACTCACACTTATGCGCGCGGGCGCGAACTTTGTTTTGCAAATATATGAGATAGTATTAGATAATAGGATCTATGAAGCTGGCACGACATTCTGTCGATATCAAAAAAAATTACAACAGTTCCAGTAGCACTTTTCATAGTTCTACAGTTCTATCTAGAAATAAAAAATAGTTCCGCAGTTTTAATATGAAAAAACTAAAATTGAAAATATATATGGCGTGCTAACTACGCGAATCTGGCACGTCAGATTTCCTCTAAAGTACAAGAAAAAAATTAATATTTGCACTTTTAGCAACAGTTCCCGATAGTTCTACTAAAAACCAACTAAGTTATGCATTTTCAAAATAAAATAACAACATTTAACAATTTTTATACATCCTATATATAGAAAATGGCATAAAACTTCTAGAAAAAGTGACGTGCTGACTATTTCTATCAGTTTCAACGGCAGTTCTCATTAGTTCTTACAGAGTTCTATGCAATGCAATCATTTATAAGCAAAGTTCCGGCCTCTACATATTTTTAATCAATTTTTTAGTACCTGAGTTCAGCACGACACTTGTAGAAAAAGTAACATATTGCTGTTTTAAAATTGGTATATTGCTACTTAAAGTTTCATATAGTGAAGGCAACAATTTGCCAATAAATACGAACACAGGTGCTGCAATTTTGATAGCAACACATGTATTTATACTTGCAAGCGATATACCGCAGCGACAAGATATGTTGCTAACTGGATGTATATGTATGTGTATTTACGCAATTTAATCTAGAATAATTAATAGTTCCAAATCTGGTTGTGGTGTGATGGAGTGAATAACGTCGATAAAGAGCACATCGGAGAAATTGAGTATTTTCCAAGTCCTGGCTTTTCTGTGCAATATTTCCCGTTTATTGGTCAACCAGATTATTTGGCACCAGTAGTCGCACTGCGTTTTAAAAATGTCACATGTAAACCATTAAGATATATATGATTATAAAAATTATATATTCAAACACTTTAAAAATAGAAAATAATGGTTTAGAATATTATTTATAAAAGATTTGATAAATTTTGTTAATAGTCATATTTATATTTATACAAATAAAAGTTGAAATTATCAATTACTAATTTTTTTAATAATATGGTTAACATTTTAATAATATGGATAAATATATTGTATTTTATTAATACATTGTTTTTAGCGTTTAGATTAGTGACGGTGGAATGTAACTTATGGGCATTCAACATTAACAAAGATGCACAGAACGCACTGGATTTTCAACTAATTCTAGGCGAATTATAAAAGGTGATCAACAAATGTCTGTGCACTTTAAACATTTATTCATACACAAATACGCAGACATAATAAGAAATTATAGATAAGTTTTAATGTATTTCGTGCAGAATATGAAAAAGAAATTTTTTTTATCCAGAGAATTCTTATAATTTCATATTAAACGTTTATTCTAATTTATAAAACATTTTGTCATTAATAATTCCTTTTATTTATTACGTTACATTAATAATAATATAGAAAAATGTATAATTTTCTGAATATTATTTTGTTTAAAGATTATTTTGATCTGCGAGGAACATTTATAAAAACAAAAAAGCTGCAATTATGTGTATCATAATATATTTTTCTTAACTGACTCAAATTGTCGTGTTTATGTTTCCTGAGAGATAACAAAAGTATAATGTTTAATATTCTCATAAATTGAAAGACTAAACCGTTTCTATCGATGGAATATAATGGTTTAAGACCACACAGAGAGTTCCATTTATAGAATTTATTACTTTTACTAAAGTAAGGAATTAATATCTTTATTATACAATGTAAACGAGAAAAGGGCAGGACGAAGCTTTATTTGTCTACAAATATGTATTTTTTGTACATTTGTGAATTGTGTTGAAATTTGTTTTTCCCAGATTCGCCCAAATTCCCTTCTGGAATCAACAGTGTTTTCTAGAGCAAA